AAAGTTATACCTTTCGCCCTACCAGGTTCCTCCTCTGCAAAAACTAAGGTGTTGTCTCCCAGCCTTGGAGCTGGGGGGGGGGGGCAGCAGATAATCCCAGATGGCAGGGGCAGGTGGGATCACTCTAGATTGGAACTGCCACCAAAAACCCCAACCAAAGGTTGTGCTTGGGAGAACACTGATCAAAACGTAAAAGGTCATTTTTTTAAAATATTTATTTTTTATTTGTACACAATACATTTATTTTGTTTATTTTTATGTGGTGTTGAGGATCGAACCCAGGGCCTCACACATGCTATGCGAGCGCTCTACCGCTGAGCCACAACCCCAGCCCCCAAACGTCATGCTTTTTGACCCAGCACCATTTAAGCATTCTACAGATGTGATTTGTATACATGTAAAACAAAGTATGTAAAAGGGTTAGAGCAGTCTGTAGTAATAGCCAAACGTAGGAAACAATTCAACACATCCAGCGAGGCAGCTGGTTAAATAAAGTGATCCTTCCACATAAGGAGAATGCTGTAGCTTTTAAAAAGAAGGAGCAGCTCTACTTATACTGATGTGGGATGGGTTACAAAATGTAATTAATTTAAAAAGAAGGGAGAGTTCAGAACAGTACATCAAGTATAACATTTATATTAAAATAATAAATATAGTTATTGGTAAATGCATAGTCTGAAGGTGGAAGACACACAAGAGACTGCTTCTGGCACTGCCTTACTAGGAGCTATGGACAGGAGGGAGACTTATTTACTGTCCATCTTTTTAAATCTTTTCAAAATTAAGAGCAGCACTTGGAAACAAACCAACCACCTTAGTTCCCCCCACACCCCCATGCTGTCTTATCAGTTACAGCTTGGGATGGGGACAGTACTCAGACCCTGGCAGCAAGGGAGTCAAGCTGAAGTGGCTTTCCTTAAGTTTCTGGGCATTTGAGCAGCCCAAAGATGGTTTCCTTTCCAGGATCTCAGCTCTTGGAGTCAGAATCTTAAAAGGATGTGGGTGTGATCGTCTTTGCCTTACTCGTAGTGCCTAGGCATAGAGGAACAGGAGTTACTACCTTTACTTAAAAGACGAGAGTCTGAGAACTGGGGATATAGCTCAGTTGGTAGAGTGTGTGCCTTGCATGTGGAAGGCCCTGGGTTCAATCCTCAGCACCACAAAAAACAAACAACAAAAGGAAAATCTGAGGGCTGGGGGTGTGGCCCAGGTTCGATCCTCAGCACCACATACCAACAAAGATGCTGTGTCTGCTGAAAACTAACTAAATAAATATTAAAAAAAAAAAAAAAAAGGAAAATCTGAGGTCCAAGATCATGTGGAAGAAGGTAGTATTTCACATATGCTCACTCATTTTAGGCCAGGCAGGTTTCCATTTACAATTTTCACTCATCCAAGGACCCAGGCATTAACATGTTCAAAGCAGTCAGCTGTGCTGAAGGCAGTTCCTTCTTCTGCTGCTTACTTACCAATTCAATCCTTTGGAGTTTGAGACTGTGTCCATTCCTTCTCTCCTGCCTCTGCCCACTAAACTCCTATCCAGCCTTCCTTCCCTTTCCCTGGGAAGAAAGACAAGAGACCAGCAGGGCAGACCAGAATTTCCTTAATTCTCATATGTGCACCCCATTCACTGGCCGAGCCGAGCACCTATGCACAGGCAGAGCCAGACAAGAATCCTGCTCTCCAGAACCTCTGTGCAATGTCCGCCTTTACCCTTATTTTACAATTGGACTGGGACAGGGGACCCCTCATTCAAGAAAACTTCCTCACTTAAGATTATCTCAATTCTTCTCTTTCTAACCCTCCTTCTTTCTCATAGGCTATAACAGTCATCTTCCCTCCTGAGCTTATTATATGCTCTTAAAAAATGGATTAAAATAAATAAATTGTTCTAATTAGTATAAGATATACTCCATGTTTGTGTAAATATGTCAAAATATACCCTACTGTCATATATATCTAAAAGAATAGAAATTTAAAAATTGTGGAAGATAAAAAAGGCACCAACTTAAAAAAAAAAAAGAAATGGTGTTATGAAAGAAACAAAACAAAAACGAAACAGAGTAAGATGGTATATGCCTGTAATCCGAGCAACTCAGGAGGCTGATGCAGAATCTCAAGTTCAAAGCCAGCCTGGGCAACACACAAGACCCTGTCTTAAAATAAAAATGTAAAAAGGGCTTGGGGTATGGATTAGTGATAGAGAGCTCTAGTTAAATCCCCAGTACCAGCAAAAGCAAAAAAACAAAAAATGTGCAATATTTCACTTAACACTCATCACACCCTGAGAGCCAGGTACTACTATCACCCCCATATTACAGACAAGAAAACTGGTCCAACAGAGCAGTTTCTCAGTTGGTTTTTTATGTTTATTTCTTTTTAAATCTTATGTGGTATATTTGTAACTGCCTTTTCTTTTTTTTCTTGGTAACAGGGATTGAACTCAGGGGCATTCAACCACTGAGACACATTCCCAGCCCTATTTGGTATTTTATTTAGAGACAGGGTCTCACTGAGTTGCTTAGTGCCTTGCTGTTGCTGAGGCTGGATTTGAACTTGTATGCTCCTATCTCAGCCTCCCAAGCTGCTGGGGTTACAGGCATGCACCACTGTGTCTGGCTGACTTTTCAATTCATGTTTGCTGAGATCTGTTGTGTGTCCAGTACTGTACCAGTTGCTGTGATAACAGAGGTAAACAAAAGAATGTCATAAGGGCAGGACTCTTCATGAAAGGAAACTGATCTAGAAATTTTATTATTCTTTTGTTTCTATCAGGGTTGTTATCTATGTCCTATCTCTTCCACTTATTAGCTGTGTGACTCTGGACAAGTTAATTTACCTTTTGATGCCCTGGTTTCTGTAAAACTCTGATAACATTTTCAGGTTATTTAGAATCATAATTAATTTGTGAATTCATGATTTCTTTAAAAATTTTCTTGTAGTTGTAAATGGATAACATGCCTTTATTTTATTTATTTTTATGTGATGCTAAGGATTGAACCCAGTGCCTCACTTGTGCTAGGCAAGCACTCTGCCATTGAGCTACAGCCCCAGCCCCAAAGAGCTGGGATAAAGCCTGGCACTTGGAGCATTATGTAAGTATTAGGCATTGCTATCTTGATGCCCCAGACTCCAAAGCAACATGACTTGACTCCAGGCTGTACCAGCTCTCCCTCTGCTTCTGCCTACTTCACTCATGCATTTAGCAAGCAATTTTCAGCATTACTGTGTGCAAGGCAATGCTTGAGCCACCAGGAATATAGCAAAGAACAGTGTTTTCGTGATGGGGGAGGGGCAAACAGCAAAGAAAGTATATGAGTAAGTAAGTAAGTACCTAAGGGGATTCAATTTCAGTGTGATAGTCTCCAGGCAGCACATTTCATTGAGGGCTGGGGAAGGCCCCTTAGGAGGTGATACACACTGAGATCTGAATGACAAGCAGTACTGTACTGTGGAATTCATCCCTGACACTTCATCATGCCCACTGCTCACCATTCCTGCTCTTTCCAACAGTGCTTAAGCCTGACGGTTTTATTCCACATTTTGACTCATGCCATTCTCTGTCCCTGGCCACCTCCCCACCCCTGAAATAGCCCCCTGGCCCCTATTCCACAGAGCTCAAAGTGTGAACTTCCTCAGGAGGCTCTCCACAGACCACAGGATAGGGTGTGGAATCACCGGACGGATCCCAGTCTCCTGCCCTGATCAGAGAGCCAGTGGGTAGCTGTGGGTTTCCTATAGAGTCTCGGGGGTGTGCTGGTAAAAACTGCAAAATAATTTGATTGCTCTTCACAATTCCCTTGGGCCCTTGTTAAAATACAATCAAGGAACCCAACACAGTCCTCTTGATTGAAGATCTCCAGAGATTTTTGTTTTCGATGTTGGGGATTGGACCCGAAGTCTCCTGCATGCTAGGCAAGCGCTTATCAGGGGCCTACCCCCAGTCCTCCAGCGCGATTTTTAACCAACACCTCCGGAGCTGCAGGTATCCTGGCTCGGTGGGGGCAGATAGGAATCAGATGCCCCGGAAATAACCTAGCTATGGAAGGACGTGCTCTGGATTGCTGTTTCCCACAAGGCAACTTATCTGTGTACCTGGCAAAAGCATAACTCAAAAGACTGTGTTCCCTTTGGCTCTACTGACTTAATGACTTGGCAGCCACCGCATTTTAACGGGTGCATTACTACCAAGTAACTAAGAAGGAACTTGTGGGTGGCCAAAGGCCCAACTTTGTGGTCAGCCTGCCCCGTCCCTCTTCTCGGCCCACCCGCTCTGTCACCTCCACGAAGTCCCCTTGGAGCTTGCCCCCCATACAGTGGTATGAAACGGGCTGCTTGTGCACTGCTCATGAACAGACACTACTGCCTTTATCACCAGCTATCAGGTCGCAGCTTCGGGCGCGTGGCCCGGGAGGGAATCACCTGCAGCCAGGGGATGTTTCAGGCCCCCAGCTCATCCGCGCTCATCCCGAGAGGCCAGAGAACTCCGCGGGCCCTGAACTTCTGGCGCTTTTGGGCTCATCAGCAGGAACACAGAGCGAACCCTTTTCTCCATGGCCGCCTGGAGGCCCGGCGAGAAGCGCAGGCTGGGGCCGTGCGCGGCGCCTCCGTGAACTCCAAGGCCTATAGGACCTAGCAGTGTCCAGGAATAGGAGACCGCGCGATTACGTCGCCCCCGCGCTCTGGGCCCAGCCGGCGCCAAAAAACTTCAGTTAGAGGGCGCAGGCGCCGCGAGAGCAGGCAACGCAGAAACGTTCGGGAACCCGCGCGTACGCCGGCCAATCAGCGCCGGCCTTGCACAAAGCGAGTTCCGCCCACAGAGCACTACCTCCAAGCTTCTCCCCCTCCCTGACAGCCTCGGCCCGCCCACTCCGCCCGCGCCCCGCCCCGCGTTGTCCTGGGTTAGAGGCTCGCGATTGGGTCACAGGACGGGAGCGAACGGTGGTTGGTCGAGGCGGAGTCACGGGGGCGCCGTCGTCGCCTTTCCAGAAGCGATTACTGGGCAGGCTCAGTCTTTCGCCTCAGTCTCTAGCTGTAGCTGGCAGCTAGGGGTACGTGCTCCGGCATCTTCTGTACCCGAGGGCCGCCATCGACGTTGCTTCAGTTCCTCTAGGTTTATCTGCGCCACTCGCCCGCCACACACTCCGCCGTCATAACCCGCCATCATGGTGAAGCTCGCAAAGGTAAGAGGCCTGGTGCCCGAGCAGCTACGTCTAGAGGCCTGCTTTCCGAAGGACGCGCGCGCACGGCGCCGCGGGGAGGAGGGCCTGCGCGCAGTCCCGGGCGCGTTCGAGGGCGCCATGCTGCGGGAAGTCTCGCGCGACTGGTCGGAGGTCTCGCGGCTTTTGGCTAGCGGGTGGTGAAGTGAAGAGCTTAGGCAGGTGCGGGAGGCCGCTGACTGGCGGCGAAACTCCTCGGCGGGGTGTGGGGAGGGGGCGCTGCGTCTCGGCGCGTGGGGATGAGGCCGAACTCCTGCGACCGGAGCGAGCTGGGCCCCGCCTCCTGGCGCACGTGTCCGGGCTCGCGGCCCGCCACGTGGGCCACTCCGCGTGGGGCTCCGAGTCTTCGGAGGGGCCGGGGCCCTGGGGCGGGCAACAGCAGGATTGGCCTCGGTGGGAGGCTCGGCGGCCTGCGGACCTCTCCGCCTGGGCCCGGCCGGCCGGCACGTGGTGGGCACCAGGAGGCGCTGGGCTGCGGGCACATGGTGGCGTGGCGGATGCACCCACGTGGTCCCGATAGGTCTGGGAGTGGAAGTTAATGAGAAGAACCAAGTTCGGTTAAAGGGAGATTTGTAATATCCCAAGGTGCCTTTAAGATCTTCACTGCCGACAGGCTGTGCATAACTAGTTGGCTTTTTAAAACAAGAGGGCCTAACTGAGATAAAGGGAAGAAATACTTCTTAAGGTTGCCCTTTTACCTATTTATGATGGTTTTATTTAGTTTGGTTTTGTTTGCAAACCTGATAGAAAAAGTGCGCTGCTAGCAGTGCCGCTAGTATTGATGTTCACTGTGAACTTATGCTGCATAGAAAACGGAATCTAAGAAAGGAGATGGTTGAATTACTGTGGAGAAACATGATAAAATAGGATTGGCTCAATGCAGGGCGGGTGGCGCAGGCCTGTAATGCCAGCGACTGGGGAGGCCCAGGGCAGGATAATTGCAAGTTTGAGGCTAACCTCAGCAACCTAGCAAGCCCCTGTCTCAAAAAAATACAGAAGGGCAGGGGTTATAGCTTCGAAAGTAGAGCTCCTCTGGATTCAATCCCCAATACCAGGGGGGAAAAAATGGCTTGAAATGTGGATAGAAATGTAATATTTTAATTGTGGCCATTTCTAGGCCGGTAAAAATCAAGGTGACCCTAAGAAAATGGCTCCTCCCCCAAAGGAGGTAGAAGAAGATAGTGAAGATGAGGAATCTTCAGATGAAGAAGATGACAGCAGTGGAGAAGAGGTAATTTTATCAACTCAATACAGAACTGTGTAAAGCTAAAGTCCAATGCAGTGGCACACACTTGTAATCCCACCTACCCAGGAGACAGAGAGCAGGAGGATCCTGAGCTAGACGCCAGCCTGGGCAATTTAGGTCCTGTCTCAAAAAAATACTGTGTAAAATCAGAGAGTTAAAGCAGGTGGTGGTGGATATCTGAAGGTATTGGCAAAAAGATTTTGTGGAGCTAAAAGCTCTTCATTGGCATATTGTCATTTGGTTATGTATTTGAATGTGAATTTGAGACAGTATCTGGGAGGGGCTTCTTTTTCTCAAGTCCCCTCTTCAGGGTTTTGTGTGGTGTGGTATGTTATATCATTACATCTTTCCAGTTTTAATGTATTTTCTTGCCTTCACATGCTAAAATGAAGGAAAAGCTCTTGTTCTGTAAGTGGCCAACCTGAATGTTATATTCATGGATATATTCATGAACCTTTCCAGATTCCTAAATTTCAAGCAAGAATAATTGGTCTTTATCCCATTATGTATAAACTTTGAAGCAATCACTAAGTATCTGGATTGAGGGCAAGGATCTCTTAAGCTCTTCTGCCAGTTTGCTTACTGTAAAGACAACTGACCTACAGTTGTGCTTCCATTTTTTAAAATATTTTTCATTGTAGATGGACACAATACCTTTATTGTATTATTTATTTTTATGTGGTGCTGAGGATTGAACCCAGGGCCTCACACATGTTTTTTTGGGGAGTATGATAAAATTACTTGCTAAAACTAATAAAAAGCATCTTGTAAGACGAGATAAATGATAATTTGCTCACTTGTCCTATAATTTACAGGGGTTGTAAAGTTTGTTATTTTTTATTTCGGGCCTTAAGAATTAAACTTTTTATTAATTAAGCTCTGTATTACTACCACCCACTCTGGGAGCCCCAAATGATTAAATTAATGGGTGTAATGTTTTGAATGATTAAGTGTATTTAGCATAATCCTTAAACACTGTGGTTTAGATTAACCTTTACAAGTGATAAGTTTTAAGATTTCAAAAGCATAAGATGCAGGAATTAGACATTTGGTTCAAAAATATTTTTAAGTGTTAGGAAGGATTCTTTATGCTTGAGTATTTTACCTGGCATTGAGAACTCTGGCATCACAGACATAAGACACATAATCTGACTAAAGATTAACATGGGTATAGTCTTGAACCACAGGCAATGCCAAGATCTAACAATTTTTAAGACCGTGGCTGTTTGAATGTGTGGAAATATTTAGTGTTTTTATTTATTCTTAAGGTTGTCGTCCCTCAGAAAAAAGGCAAGAAGGCGGCTACCACAGCACCAGTAAAGAAGGTGGTGGTTTCCCTGACAAAAAAGGCAGTTGCCTCACCTGCCAAGAAAGCAGCTGTCACCTCAGGCAAAAAGGCAGCAGCCATTCCAGCCAAGAAGACAGTTAAACCAGCCAAAGCAGTTGCAGCATCTGGCAAGAAGGGAGCCACTCCTTGCAAAGCATTGGCAGCAGCCCCTGGTAAGAAGGGAGCTGTTGCCCCAGCCAAGGGGGCAAAAAATGGCAAGAATGCCAAGAAGGAAGACAGTGATGATGAGGAGGAGGGTGACAGTGAGGAGGATGAAGACGATGAGGAGGATGAAGATGACGAGGAAGAGGATGAATTTGAACCAGAAGTCATGAAAGCAGCAGCTGCTGCCTCAGAGGACGAGGATGATGAGGATGACGAGGAGGAGGAGGATGATGATGAAGAGGATGATGATGAGGATGACGAGGAGGAAGATGGTGAGTTCTTTTTGTAATTTCTGGAGTTCTGTTGCAAGATACCTTGATGGAGCTTAATTAAGCATGGTGGCAAGGTTGCATTTCCTTAGTTTCTGACATGGTGGCTGGCTTCTCTTTCAGACTCTGAAGAAGAAGAACCTATGGAGATCACACCAGCCAAAGGAAAGAAAGCTGCTCCAAAAGCCGAACCAGTGAAGCACAAGGGCATGGCTGAGGAGGACGAGGAAGAGGAGGAGGAGGATGAAGATGATGAGGATGAGGACGAGGAGGATGAAGATGATGATGAAGAGGATGACGAAGAGGAGGAGGAGGAGGAAGAAGGTAATCAAACTAGGTTCTGAAGTATATTGACTTGAGCTGTGTTTAAAGAAAGTACTTAAGTAAGTATATGTGGCATGTTGTTCCAGAGCCTGTCAAAGAAGCACCTGGAAAACGAAAGAAGGAAATGGCCAAACAGAAGGCAGCCCCTGAAGCAAAGAAACAGAAAGTAGAAGGTAATCCACCAAATGAGGAGGGAGGCGGGTGAGATAAAGTAGTAATAGCACAAATGATGAACTATAAAGGGACTTAATTCTGAAACACCTGATGTTAGCTTGCAGTATACTGATGTGCTATATGTACAAGTTTTTGTGCTGGAATTTGATTTGTACCGGGCTTTGTAGTCTAATAATAAGAGTTCACTTTCTGTATAGGCACAGAACCAACTACATCTTTTAATCTCTTCGTTGGAAACCTGAATTCTAACAAATCTGCCCTTGAACTAAAAATTGGTATCAGTGAACTTTTTGCGAAAAATGATCTGGCTGCTGTGGATGTCAGAATTGGAACAACTAGGTAGGTAAATGTCACACTGTTACATGTGAATCTGCAAGTGCTTTTTCCCAGTTACCCTAGCCTGGCATCCAAAAATATCTTACAGATTATACATTAATGAACTGGACCATTAGATTATTAAATTACAGAATCCCCAATTTTGAAACCTACATAATTGACATAATAATAAGTAATCTACATAATAATAAAAGTAATCTACATAATGAGTCAAATTCTTTTTAAAATTTTTGAAATTAATTCATTTATTGTAGTTCTAGGGATTGAGTTTAGGATAATGTACCACTGCACTATATCTCCAATTCTTTATTTTTAAGAATTTTTTTGGTACTGAGTATTGAACCCCAGGGGTGTTCAACCACTGAACCCCACATCCACATCCCTTTTTTATATTTTGTTTAGAGACAGGGTCTCTCTAAGTTGCTGAGGCTGGCTTTGAACTTGTGATGCTCCTATCTCAGCCTCCCGAGCCACTGGGATAACAGGCATGCACCACCACACCCAGCTGTAAAATAATTTTTAAGAATAGTTTTGGAAATGTGATGTTTATATTCTTGGAAATGCCAAAATTATTAGACCTCCACACTAAGTGTTTTAACAGGTTGCTTTGTAAGCTATTACTATGTTATAAGTGTGACCCACAGGAAGACATGAAAGATGAATTGCATATTAAATATTGGTATTTAGATCTTGTTCTTTAGCTGAAATTTGCAGAGCCATAACTTTATTAACACTGTAGGTGCTTTATCTATAATGTTGCTGGTATTCGTATGTGTACAGTTTGACTGTTTTTTATTTTTTGCTCTCATCACTTGTAATTTTATTGTTTGCTTTAAAAGGAAGTTTGGCTATGTGGATTTTGAATCTGCTGAAGATCTGGAAAAAGCCTTGGAACTCACTGGTTTAAAACTTTTTGGCAATGAAATTAAACTAGAGAAACCAAAAGGAAAAGACAGTAAGAAAGGTATGTAAAGCGTTGGAGATTATATTATCCAAATGTGTCTAGGAAGTCAAATGTAGATTCAGGAGATAGACTTTTCAGGTTTTTGTTTTTTTTTTTAAAAACCTTTTCTCGTAAATTCTTCATAATATGAGAATTCATAATATGAGAATTCAATGTGTTGATTGTTGACAGCAGTGCATGTGGCACTACCTTTGTTGTTAAGCATTCTTGACTTAGGCAAGCATGAACAGTGTTACTCAGAAAAGAATTATATGCAGAGTGAACTTGTGATGTTTGAAATACTTGGGACCCAGAAGTATTTTGGAATGGGGACGGGGTTATGTTCTGGGGGGTGGAATGTGAGTCTTAAACACAAGATTAACTTATGTTTCATGTATACTTTTACACATAGTCTGAAGGTAATTTTTGGTGCCCTTGAATTTTGACTGATTTATAAGGTCAGATGTATTTCCTACTGTGTCAACATATCAATAATTATAAAGGGCCTTTCTTAAATTATAATACATTCCTATTAATTTTCTTTATGTCCTTTGTTTTTTCCTTATAGATTGGACATCTTATAGATTGTGTGTTCATAAATTTTAGTTTAAGAAGTGAGCATCTACCCTAGATTTAGTATTCTAAATATTTTAGTGTAGATAGTTGTCAGCTGTGACAGCATGGAGGTATTTGTACTTTGCCACAGATGTACATCCATACTTAGAACAGTACCTTTTACATTGTCATCTAAGTTTCTTGTATGCAATTGTGCTGTTAGTGTTATTTTTGTTTTTTTCCTCCTCTGGTCTGTGGGTCATACCATGGTTCATTTTTGTGGTTTCTTTTTAAATGTAGACCGAGATGCAAGAACACTTTTGGCCAAAAACCTCCCCTACAAAGTCACTCAGGATGAATTAAAAGAAGTGTTTGAAGATGCCATGGAGATCAGATTAGTCAGCAAGGATGGGAAGAGTAAAGGGTATGTTTTGTGTCTCTTAGAATGTTAAAAGTTTTGTGTTTTTATTAAGACATTTCAGCTGGGTGCAGTGGTGCACACCTGCAATCCCAGCAACTCAGGAGGCTGAGGCAGGAGGATCATGAATTCAAAGCCAACCTCAGCAATTTAGCGAGGTCCTGGGCAACTCAGCAAGACCCTATCTCTAAATAAAATATAAAAAAGGGCTGGGGATGTGGCTTAGTGGCTAAGCTTCCCTGGCGTTCAATCCCTAGTACCAAAAAGAAGACACTTCCCTGCTTAATGACACAAATCATAGTCCAGTTTTGTAGGTGTGTGATCTTGAGCAAGCTTAACCTATAAATGTGGCTCAGTTTCCTGCTTATAAAACAGGAATACTATACTTAATTTGTAACAGTTTTCAAAGATGAGATAATGTACATATGAAGGAGTAAGAAGTGCTCCTGCCTTATAATTCTGTATTAAGAGCAGTCATGCCACATAATGATAGTCCAGATTAAGACATGCATCACTTCCATCAACATTGGTATGGTCCTGAGCATTGAGGTCCTCAAGAGCATGTGGGCTGCATGTGACAGTGGTCCTGTGTACATCAGCACCCGTTGCAGTTTTGTGTATGCTTTCGTATTTGCACAATAATCACCTTAATGTGTTTTTTTTAGTTGTAGATGGACACAATACCTTTTTTTTTAATATTTATTTTTTAACTTTAGGTGGACACAGTATCTTTATTTTTTTATGTGGTGGTGAGAATCAAACCCAGTGCCTCACGCATGCTAGGCAAGTGCTTTACCACAGAGCCATAACCCTAACCTTTAATGTGTTTCCTAGTGTTTAACTTGATATTACTGTTCAGAACTGAAGGAAAGTCTGTGTTGTTGAGGGCAAAACATGTTAATGTTCTTCCCATTCAATAATCCTTGCAGGATTGCTTATATTGAATTTAAGACAGAAGCTGATGCAGAGAAAACCTTTGAAGAAAAGCAGGGAACAGAAATTGATGGTCGATCTGTATCCCTCTACTACACTGGAGAGAAAGGTCAAAATCAAGACTACAGAGGTGGAAAGAATAACAATTGGAGTGGTAAGAATTTATGGGTTTATTATAGAATTGAGGGTGGAAAATCGTTTGTATCTCCTAATAAATTTATAATTATTGTATAATCAAGGAGGGTGAAGATCCAGCAAATTAAACTACTGAGCTCTCTGAAATATTTTTTTATTGAAAAATGGTAGGCCAGTCTAGCTTCTTTTGTTAGATATGTTTTGTGTTTTAAGTAACTTCAGCCTATATATTATGAAAATATCACTGTTTTATGAAGATAAGAAATATTAAAGAATGTACTAGAGGGCTGGGGTTGTAGCTCAGTGGAAGAGCGCTTGCCTAGCATGTGTGACACTGGGTTCTTCTCAGCACCACATACAAATAAATAAAGGTTCCTCAACAACTAAAAAGTATTTAAAAAAATAATAAAGAATATACTAGAGCAGGGCATTACCAATATACAATGACTGCTCAGTAAATTGAATGACAGAATTAGGCTTTCACTAGCATCAGCCTTGGTACATTCATTCTTAAGTGTTGGTCCTCAGGAACTGGATGCTATTTTACCTGTAATTGTAGCTGGGAACCACTTTCATTTTTAAGAATGACATCTCTATTTGCAGGTGAATCAAAAACTCTGGTTTTAAGCAACCTTTCTTACAATGCAACAGAAGAAACTCTTCAGGAAGTATTTGAGAAGGCAACTTTTATCAAAGTGCCCCAGAACCAAAATGGCAAATCTAAAGGGTAAAATGTCTTTATGTTAGGCTTGGGGCCTGGGGGTGTAGCTCGGGTTATAGCATTTGTCTAGGACACATGAGTCTCCCTGAATTTGGTCCCCAGCGCTACAAAGGAAATAAGTATGTTGGTTGTCAGGAGTGGGCTGTAAGAGTGTCTTTATATCTAAAATAAAGGTGGTTGGGGCTATAGCTCAGTGGTAGAGCGCTTGCCTAGCAAGCATGAGGCTCTGGGTTCGATCCTGTCAGCAGAGGAGTGGAATGGTTTTAGCTGCACAAATGAGTGTAAATTGAAGTGCCTGCTTGAGGGAAAAGGCCTGGGGCATTGTCTGATAGAAAAACCATGTGTTTTCTAACTTGCTAAGTATTGGCTGTCCATCCTCAGGTATGCATTTATAGAGTTTGCTTCGTTTGAAGATGCAAAAGAAGCTTTAAATTCCTGTAATAAAAGGGAAATCGAGGGGAGAGCAATCAGGCTGGAGTTGCAAGGACCCAGGGGATCGCCTAATGCAAGAAGCCGTAAGTCCCATTGGCAAGGTGGTGTGGCTAGGGAATGGTATCTTCCTTGGTGCTCTGCATGAACTTAATGCCATTTTTTACTTTTTCTACAAATCTTGAGATGATCCTATTTTTCTTTTATCACTGAGTGATAGCTGGATATGATGACTGATTACCTGAGAAATAATTGATGAAATATCAAGAAAATTCCTCTAGATAGTCAAGTTCTGATCCAGCTATGTCAACTCAGAACAACAAATTTGCCTGTGGTTCGCTGACTCCTACCTGGTGGGCAGTACACACTTCAGTTTGCTTTTGTTTTCTTTGAGACATGAGGCAGAAACTTGACTGTCTGTAGGTAATACAAAATAAACTTTATAAGGCTGTTGATAGGAGCCTTAAATTAAGCATTAGTTGGCTAAGTTGCTTTTAACTGCTTTTGTACTAAAGCATACTGGACGTTGCACAAAATTACTGTCATATGAATGTGACTTAAAAATAGAATACACAATTTATTTTTCTTCCACAGAGCCATCAAAAACTCTGTTTGTCAAAGGCCTGTCTGAAGATACCACCGAAGAAACCTTAAAAGAATCATTTGACGGTTCTGTTCGTGCAAGGATAGTCACTGACCGGGAAACTGGATCCTCCAAAGGGTAAGGCATGGGAAATGGGCAGCATTGCTTCTGTTCATATTGATGTCCTGGGTGGAGAATTTGGTTTCTGATGTATCTTCTCATTGAGCTCCTTTCTGTCAACTGGTGGCAGTTTATGGATTCGCACGAGAAGAAGAGACATTTCACAGAACAGCATTACTTTACCTTCTGTTTCTACTGAGGTGTGTATTTGGTTGTTCTGTGAGACAGACATTTTAGGATTTAACTGGCAAATTAGGATTTTCTGTAGGGATGATCTGTCACTCAGATCTTTTCTCAGTTGAACAAGGCTACTTTCTGTGGGGTGACATGTGGAGTTAACTTATTAGTATGTATTTCCTTTATAATGGGTGATTTCATTTGGTGTTTTAGGTTTGGTTTTGTAGACTTCAACAGTGAAGAAGATGCCAAAGCTGCCAAAGAGGCCATGGAAGATGGTGAAATTGATGGAAACAAAGTTACCTTGGACTGGGCCAAGCCCAAAGGGGAAGGTGGCTTTGGGGGTCGTGGTGGAGGCAGAGGAGGCTTTGGAGGCCGAGGTGGTGGCCGAGGAGGCCGAGGTGGATTCGGCGGCAGAGGCCGGGGAGGCTTTGGAGGTAAAAATTGGTCCTCCACATAGCACACAGACTGCTGAGCCTGTGCTGTATTCAGTTTCTGGTCACTTTGGGCATTTTTGCACCATCCTTTCATGATGTTTTGCATTCCTGCAGGGCGAGGAGGCTTCCGAGGAGGCAGAGGGGGAGGAGGAGACCACAAGCCACAAGGAAAGAAGACGAAGTTTGAATAGTTTCTTCTGTCCCTGTCTTTCCCTCTTCCATTTGAAAGAAAGGACTCTGGGGTTTTTAACTCTGTTACCTGTTCAATGACAGAGCCTTCTGAGGACATTCCAAGATGGTATACAGTCCCGTGGTCTACTCGGAAATCCGTATAGATGACATTTCAAAGGAGATACCCTGTTGGTTTTGACTGGATGTTCATATAAACTTTTTAAAGAGATGAATGATAGAGCTAACCCTTATCTGTAAGTTTTGAATTTATATTGTTTCATCCCATGTACAAAACTGTTTTTTTCCTACAAATAGTTTTTGTTTTGTTTTGTTTGCGTTGGGGGGTGTAAAGGAAAGCAGAATGTTTTATGATTTTTGCTTCAGTGACTTTAGGACAAATTAAAAGTCCTAAACTCTGGTGCCAGACTTATACTTACTAAAATCATATTTCTTGTGGAATGTCACTGAAGAGCCTAGCAACAAAGGCTCTGTATTGCTCAGAACCACCATACCTGATATTGAATGATCAATATATTGCTTTCAAGTATCACAGCTGCGGAGATGGGTGAGGTAGCCAGTTTCTGCAGCCCTGTGTGCTGACATGTAAAGTTTATTCCAAGACTGGTGGCTTCTTCCAATTGTAGCAGGCTGGAGTATCATGTCCTGAGTAAGTTCTTTGGAAAGAGAAGTAAGAGTACATTCATTGGTCAGATCTCCTAGGATCAGCAGCAGTTGAGAGCATCAGTTCTGGATTTGGCAGTAACTGATGCGTGAGCCAGTAGAAACTTCAGAACTGAGGGTGGAACAAACACTGCCAACATCATACACTAAAAAACCTCTCATTCTGGCATTATGCACATTGCTCAGGCACTGCTTTAAGTAAACACTGCCTCCTCCTGTTTGCTTCTCTCCCCAGCTGAAAGACAGGGTCTTGAGCTATGTTGCCTAGGTTGGCCACAGACTAACAATTTTCTTGCCTCAGCCTTCTAACTACCTGGGGTTACAGGTGTTCACCACTACACCCCAACCCATTTCTGCTTTTAGTTGAAGTCAAAAGCCATGCCAGGTCAAGGGATGGTGAGCATTGTGACAGATAAAATATAAACCAAGGCAGCCACGTCCCAAAACCTGATCAGCCCATTAAAATACCAACTCATTGAAATGGGACATTGTGGGGAATGTAACAATTCAGAAGGCAACCTGAATAATACAAATGACTGGTTGGGGTTTTGCCTTGATCTTGATTTTTTTTTTTCCCCCACTGTTGGGATAAGGAAATGTTTATCACCCACCACTTGTTAGTCTTGTTCCAGTTCTTGCAAAGTGATGTGTTCTATATCAAGGAAGGTGGTGTGCATCTGTGTGAACTTAACTAACTCCAGTGGCAATGCATAAGTCTGACAAAAGGGCCCTTTTAGAAAACACTCCATAAGTTAGGCATGCAAGGCAAACATTCTGCCCTACTAGGCCATATCCCCAGCTCCAGAGAAATATTTGTAAAACTGGCTTGTGAGTGGGGTTTTGGTGGGTTTCTTTGCTATGGAGAAGGGAAGGCTTGAATTTGATCTTGCTAGTAGCCCAGTTGCTCAGAGAACCATAGCTTCCATTGTGATGGCTTGCCTTTTAAGGATTTTACATGTCCGAACTACTGAGGTTGCTACTAACAACTCAGTTGCTGACTGCAGTTTATGTTGGGTTTATATCAGACCCTAAGACGGAGATACAGGCAAGAATCTTCTATGTACTATTTATCCCATTCCATAAGTAATAGAGATTGTCCCATCAGTTGTGCTACTTGACTGTGGGATGAGGATAGAGGATGATTATCCTGCAAGGCCAAAAAAATGCCAGGGTTTGCAATTAGGGATCAGAGTCCTGCAATCTTGCCCCCTGGGTATCTGGTTTTCAATTTGGTGGGGTTTGCTGCCATTTTAGAAAAGCTGTCAGTTCCCTTCAGCAAATGGTTGTCACCACTTTTGTCAGCTTCCAGCAGGTGGCAGTACAAGTCCAAGGAAGCTCCTAGGAAGTGTTCAGAGTTAATGTGGGAGACCATCTATCTGACTTTAGCCTAGTGGATATCTTAACTCCAAAATAGTACTCTGACCCTCCTGCTCCCTAGTTGGACCATGGTCTATCCTCCATCAGTGTGGCTTTTGTTATTCCCTCTTCATTTTGTGCTAAAGGTGCCAGTGACTAGAGGCTGCCAAATCCAACAGTACATCTTGTCCCCTAAGCATCTGACCTACATCATCCTTCCTAAAATGCCTCAAACCTTAAAAGTAATGCAAACACTAGTCCGGTAGCTCTGTAACAGGGCCAAGTGAGGAGGATGGCAAAGAACAAACCCAAGAAGCTTTTCCAGTTAGTTACATCCCAGCCTATTTGAAATTGGGGTCACTAAATTGCTCTGACTGGCCTGGGACTTCTGATTTGCCTGCCTCTGTCTCCCAAGTAGCCGAGATTACAGGTGTATTCCACTGCATCCAGTTGAATTAGCCTTTTAATAGGTGAACCAATGGAGGAATGAAATGCCACAAGGGCCGCTCATTGCTGATCCCTCAATGTGGACCTGCTATGCTCTGCTGTCCAGTTGGAGGGACTTGGACACCAAGCTTCTCACTTAAGGGGACTGACTATACTTTAGAAGAAAGAACCACAACCCAGGTTTAAAGATTAAGGGCAAAATGGGCTTGCCCTAGCAAGCCTAAAACAACCCTCCACTTCCCACCCCGTGATAAAATTGCCTGTTGATGACAGGAAGACAAGTCTAGTTGAATAGAAATGTGTGTCTAGTTTTAGTCATAACTAAGTAGGAAAATGAAACAAGGTCAAACATTGAAATTTGCACACAAGGACTGACAGGTGACTCATGCCTGTAATCCCAGTTACTAGGGAGGTTAGAGCAAGAGAATCACAAGTTTGTGAGCATCTTGGCAAGACCTTGTTCCAAATTGGGGGACCCCTGGAGATGCAGTTCAGTGGTAGAGCATCTCTGCATTCAATCCCTGGCACTACAAGAAGAAATTTAATGGTTATAAATAATGTAAAGGAATTTTCAGGAAAAAGTCTGACAAGGGATTTCTAGAGATGCGGGAATTAAAAACCGAATAAATTCTAAAGCTGAGAAGTAAAATAATTGAAAAACTTACTAGAAGGGTGTAGAATCGGTGCTAGAAGGTGGATCAACAGCTTGTCAAAACTGAAATTCAAAGAGATTGGGGGAAAAAAGTGAACTGAGTCTCAATGAAAAGTTGTGTAGTTGAGTCTAATGAAGGTGAAAGCAGGAAATTTTTTGCACATCCGATGGCTAAGGAATTTATCAATTTGACAAACTACCTGTAGATGCAAGAAAAAAACCACACCTCAGCACAACTGAATTGTTCAAAACCAAAATTAAGCCAGGCACAGTGTCACACACCTGTAATCCCAGAGGCTCTGAAGGCTGAGGCGGGAGAATAGAGTTCGAAGCCAGCCTCAGCAAAAGTGAGGCACTAAGCAACTCAGCAAGACCCTATCTCTAAATAAAATACCAAAAAGGACTGGAGATGTAGCTTAGTGGTGAAGTGCCCCTGAGTTAAATCCCTAGTACTGTCTCACCAAAAAAAAAAAAAAATTGAAGAAACAAGGGCCTATTAACATGCAAAGGAACTTATTCCCCCCTATCTTTGGGGTATTGGGGTTGGAGCCCAGGGTTGCTCTAACCCTGAGCCACATACCCAGCTTTTTTTGGTTTGGTTTTGTTTTTGTTTTTGATACAGAGCCTCACTAAGTTTCAGAAACTGGCCTTGAGCTTGTAATCTTTCCAGTCTCCAAAATCACAATGTGATTGCATGCATGCATGTAGACAAATAGCAGTAACGATATAGATGAATTTTAAGAATGCTGGTCAATTAGACCTCAGCTGAAGAAGACACATTCTTTTCAATTGCACATGGAACAGTCACCAAGTACTGGCCACAGAAAACCTCAAGGAAATTCAGCTCTGAAAAAATGCCCTGTAGTGCTGCAGGGCTTGGTTCCTTACACTCCTATTCCTCACCCTGTTTGCTCTCATTAAGGAACAAGTCAGGAAGCCAGGCCCTTTAAAGATACTGGAAAGGCCCCCGTGGGACCAGAGGTGGTGATTATGGAATTAGAATTATCCTGCATGGCTACCATGCGGGATTCCTTCATGTTGAAGGTGTGTACTAGCTTAATTAGGCACAAAGAAAAATCTCAGGTGAAAGTACTCTCTTGGGTGCAGGAAAAAAAAATTCATGGTGAAGGTGTTACAGAATCTCGTTTCAAGATGAGGCCACTCAGAAACTTTGTTAGTCGGTTCCTTGCTACTGAGCCAGAATTCGAAGTTGAGTCACCATGATAGCTAAGTCAGTTCTTAATATCAGTTAAGTTTTGTTGCCTTTTACTCAGAATACCAACACCAACAAATTCTGAGGAATAGAAGTAAGGATGGGCTATGAAATTAAAAAACAAAACAAAAAAACAGCCAGGCCTGCTAGGTGGTGCATGTCTGAGGCCTTAGAGGCTGAGGCAGGAAGATTGCAAGTTCAAAGCCAGCCTCAGCAATATAGCAAGGCCCTAAGCAACTCAGCAAGACCCTGACTCTAAATAAAATACAAAATAGGGCTGGGTATGTGGCTCAGTGAGCAAGTGCCCCTGAGCTCAAACCCTGGTACCCCTCTCCCCCATCAAAAAAGAGTGTGTTGGGGACATGGCTCAGTGGTTGAGCACCTCTGGGTTCAATCCCCAGTACAAAAAAAAAAAAAGTTTGAGATCCCCTTCTTTCTTCTGGAGAACCTCCCTGGATCCTTATCCTGTGACATTTTGATGATTTAGAAGCAGTTTTCAGATGTATATTTAATGTACAAATATTTAGGGATTTTTTAATGTATCATTGTTACTGGGTATTGAACCCCGGGGTGCTTTGCCACCGAGTCACAATCCTAGCCCTTTGTTTTTTTTGAGATAAGATCTCAAAAAAAGTTAAGTTGCTGAGTCTGGCCTCTAGGATTACAGGTGTGTGCCACCCTGCCCAGCTCTTAGATTCTTGATGTACATCACAGAAAAGAATTTCAGGGACTCCTGAAGATTTATTTAGGAAAACAAGGAATACTCACTTCAAGGGACAGAGTGTGGGCTATCTCAAGAGTGAGATGCACTTTCGGGATCTTGGACTTTTTTTTTAGAGAATTTTTTTTTTTTAATGTTTATCTTTTAGTTTTCGGCGGACACAACATCTTTGTTTGTATGTGGTGCTGAGGATCAAACCCGGGCCGCATGCATGCCAGGCGAGCACGCTACTGCTTGAGCCACATCCCCAGCCCCAGATCTTGGACTTCTTTATTTTTGTGATACTTGGGATTAAACCCAAGGTTGCTTTACCACTGAGTTACGTTCTATCACTTTTCATTTTTGTTT